AAGGTCCAAAAGCAGCCGGGTCCCGCGCGACTGCTCCTGCGCCTGGAGCTCCTGGAGTTGCCTCTGCCGCTGCAAGAGCCTCTGAGGGTTGAGGGTTTATAGGGTTTAGGGTTTGGGGTTTAGGGTAGTTTAGGGTTTAGGGTTTAGGGTTTGGGGTTTAGGGTTTGGGGTTTACCTGTTTGGGGTTTGGGGCTTAAGGTTTGGGGTTTACCTTGAGAACCCAAACCGTGCCAAATTCTTGCTCTTCCAGGAGAGCTGGTTTTCACGATTGAGGGCGGTATTTGGTTCTTCATGGCGTTTCTTGGCGTTTGTCGGATTTGTCCTGTTTTCGGGAGGCTGTTTTGTAAATGGCATGCCGTTTTGTCGGAGCGTTTTTGCCTCGAGTGTGGCTGAGCTCCTCGATGGGGAGTGTGCTTGAGCTCCTGATGAGCCAATGCATACTGGGCGACGGTGCAGGTTCAGGTCTCCTTGCTCTGCTTCTGCTTCCCTGAAAGAACTTTGGCTGAGAGCGGAAATGGTCGGTAACCCCAATTTTTTAGCCACATGGACAAGGAAGGAAATGGGCAGTATACAAGGGCGCCCTCATGCTGCCGGTTTCCACCGTTGTACCGCCCATTTCCGCCCTCGGCTCAGGGGTTACCGGGCATTTCCGCCCTCGTACCGCCGATTTTCGTCCTGGCACCGGAAACCGGCGGCACGAGGTCGGTACAGCGGTGGAAATCCAAATTTCTGAGCGAGGGTCGAAATGGGCGGTACAACAGCGGAAATCGGCGGTACGAGGGCGGAAATGCTCGGTATGAGGGTGGAATGGGCGGTCGGCGGAAATCGGCGGAAATGCCCGGCCGAGGGCGGAAATGGACGGTAGAAATAGGCGGTACGAGGGCCAGCACACCCCAACACTTGCATCACCAAACCTCGACACAGGCCTCCTGGAAGCCCACACCTGCAGCTCCCAGGCCCCTTATGGTTATCCCCGACGTTCGTCGGGCCGCTCCCCTCAAGGCAAAGCAAACCAGAAATCCTTTGGTTCGGTTTGTTCTCAACACCCTTCCACCATACTTAAGCCAGCACCGCCGTCCCATAGTTCGAAGCTGGACCCCTCAAGGCCCGATTAAGATCCTCGTCGAAGCCTCTGTTTATCTCCAGGCCTCTGATATTATGCGCGAAACCACAACCGAAACAGTTGCAACGAGGTAAAACCCGTCCCAATGCTGAGTGCGTTTCTTCAAATTCAGACCCACTCGTGAAAGCGAATCCTGACATCCCCCAAATCAGACAACGACGTTTTTGTGGAGGCAGTTGCGTCTTCTATCCGAGCCAAATTACTGTCATTTTGGATTTGGCCTCTTTTTGTTGCATAGGTGGTTCCCAGGTAGGGTTTAGGGTTTAGGGTTTGGGGTTTAGGGCTTATAGGGCTTGGGGTTTCGACTCTCACGCTTGCAAAAGCGGCAAGGGTTTATCTGGGGCACCCCCCCCCCGCCCCATGGTATGGTAACCCCCCGCTAGGGTTTAGGGTTCAGGGTTCAGGGATCGGGGTTTAGGGTTTCGGCCCTCGCAGTGGCATAGGGCGAGGGTTTAAGGTTCCGACTCTCATACTGGCAAATAATGCGGGTTTAGGGTTTGCGGTTTGCAGGCTTGGGCCGCATAAGGGTTTGGGGGGCTTGGGGGTTGTTGCGTGGGTGTTGCGATAGCTCCAGCCAGGAATTGGGGCTAAGGGTTGAGGCTCATGAAGAGACTTCCCTAACTGAGGGAGCCTCTGCGTAGCGAATGCTACTTGAGGATGCCCACATGAGAATTATTGAGGCGCACATTAGGAGGGGAGGGAGCCCGCCAACATGTCTGGCAACTTGGGGCGGCCTAATTTGCTACTATATTCTTTATTTGTTGTCTGTTATCTTTGTCAAACCCTCCCACAACATGAAGCCCCAAATCCAGGCCCCCTCGTCCCAGGCCTGCTCTCATCCTCGCGATGCCAGTTGGGTCGGGAGGCAACACCTGGAGGTATGGGGATTAGCTTGTTGTTGCTTTTGTTTTGGGAGTTGGGGAGGAATGCGGTCTTGAGAACGGCTGAAAAGTCATAGGGCTTAGCTTGGGGCTACATATATCGACATGTTCAGGCAACCTGAGAGATTCTCGGAGCAACACGGCTCAAAAAAAACCATTGCAGCCCCATGACCAAAGGCCACATCAGACCCAATTGACACTTGCCTGCCCATCATTCGTGGGTCGAGAAGTTCTGGGCGCCGCTCTGAGAGCGAAAGCCCTGCTCACCGTCCACACCCCAAGGCCCCTGAATTCCCAATCTCAAACACCTTGAACTACAGAAACAGGCTCCTCGAACCACCCATCCGCGCTCGCCCCAACAACAAAAACAACCACACAAACGCCAACCTCGTAACCTGTAATGTCCAAAATCGCAACCACAGCACGAGCACCCTTAACTCTAAACCCTAAACCCTTTTCATTTCAAAAACCATAAAGCCTAAAGCCCTAAACCCTTGATTACCAACCCGAGGTTGGTAAACAACAACAAACCTGAGCCGGCCGCGGGCTTGTGGTCTCACCCGCTGCAGCAGCGACGCCTTGACTAGGGCCTGCATCACCCATCTTTTGCATGTTATATTTTCAGCTTCTCAGGGATCTCGAGGCCCCGGAACAGTAGGGTTCTGTGCTTGAATGCGAGGCGTCCGCCCTTATGGATGGAAAGGTTGGTAACAGCCCAAGCTTACCCACACATCCCATACAGTATCGGGTGTGCAACCAAAAGTCAAAACAGTCCGATAATCCCCTTGCTCCAAACCAGACAGCTCCCCCCCTCCCTCGAAAAACCCGAATCCCAAGGCCCTGTTCCCTGCGGCCCCTGAACCGTCCACCCTGAAATGCAAAAGCAACACAAAAACACCTTACAAAACCCGATGACGCTCGATTTTGGCGCTCACTGCGCTCCGCAGCTGGTTTGGATGTGGCGGAGAGTCTCCTGAGGAGTCGGGTGTTCGGGGTTTCGGGCTTCGGGTTGAGGGTATTTGGGTATGGGACCTTAGGATGGTGAGCTCCGGAATTTTGCTTTGGGGTGGCAGGCTTATGGCCCCTATGAATGCTTCCAGGGCTTAAGTAAGGGTTTAGTTTATCGAGTTTTGGACGCCTTTTTTGCAAGCCGTTCAAATCACCGTTCCAACCAGAACCCAAACTCCTTGCTTGCCACAGCCGCCTGTTTGCCAACCTACCCCTAAACCCTAAACCCGATTGCCCTTTCTTGTAGGGAGTCTGGAGGTGCCCCCGGCAGAAACTATGCACTTGTCACCGAGCTTCAAGGTTGGGGCCCAAACGCCCAAACGGGCTTAGGGCCTTTAGTGGCTGATGCTCGCTGCTTCACTAGGCGATTCCTAATCGAGATCTTTATGTACCCTTTAAATCGGCCGAGGCCTCGGGACGTAGGTCTGGGGTGTATAAAGCAGGTATATACCCTCCCGTATTGAACGATGCCTAGCCGTGGGAGGGTCGCGTAGCGTTAAGAGTAAGGTATACGCATGGTATGGGCCCGCTATTACATGTATATAAAATTAAGGCGTGCGATATAATTTCTAATTAAGCCAAGTAAAAAACTACTCCGGCGAAGATTTCTTTGAACCCCTTAAACCTCCCCCACTCCCCTTCGCCCCTTTCCCTCCCCCTGTCCCCTCCTTCGCCCTTTCTCCCCCCAAAACACCGCCTGGTACTAAGTAGGCAATGAGGGAATTAGGGCCCGAAACATACCCGTCAAGGGAGTGCAGAGGGTACCTCATTCCCTCCTTCCCTACTACTTGGAGGTTCATGGGTAGTTTTCAGTAGGGTTGTAATTGGGGTAACTATACTTCTAACCCTACTTAGGGTACTTATAACCCTAATTAGAACTACCTGTGAACCTCCAAGTAGCCCGTAACCCTAAACCCTAAACCCTAACCTCCAAGAATGGGTTTAGGCAGTATTTAGGTCTTTTGTAAGAGCCAGGCAGTTAAAGCAATGTCAGACTGCGCACGTAGCTCAGCCGGGCTGCCTTGGGGATGGCATAGAGCCGTCGCTTGACCAGGCTGGGCCTTGGCTTGTGTTTCAAAACGCAGAGTGCTGCGGGTAAATATGTATATATATATATATGTATACATACATACACACACATCTGTACACATGTATGTATGTATGTATGTATATATATATATACATATTTGTATGTGTGTGTGTGTGTGTGGGTGTGTGGGTGCGTGCGTGGTGTGTGTATATATAAATACACACAAATAAACAAATAAAGAAACACATGTATATACAAAAAATGATAATATACATATATACATATAGAATCTAGGGTTCAAGGTTAGGAAACCTAACGCTGAAGCCAACTTGCAATCCTCAATCTACGGTTCGTCTCGCGCCCTGTAGAAAGAACAGCAAGGCGGGTACCAAAGCTTTCCTCCTGCAATGCCTTCAGAATGTGTTTAGGGTTTAGGGTTTAAGGTTTAGGGTTTAGGGACAGATCAACCCTACATGCTCAATGCCTGGATGGGGTTACAGTCAAGGCTGGGCGATGCTTCGGGTTGCGACTAGTATTTAATACTGGTGGCTACATTACGTGGTGGCGCTCTTGTTGGTGCTGTCGTTGTTTGGGGTCAGGGAGTAAGGGGTTCAGTGGAGCAAGCGCTTTTGCACAGGGATCTATGTGCAACGTGGACTCAGGCTTCAGCTTATCGATTGGTCTCAACCGAAGGCCCCACACCCGCCCTGTGCCCAGTCTGGCAGACAACGTGACATTTCTTTTTTATGCGCCGGCTCTTTTCGGCTGGGCGATGGCGCTCCAACAAGCGCATATTTACAGTTTGTTTTGGACTTGCAGGCCTTTGCATGTTATTGTAGGGTTCCAGGGCAATAGGGTTTAAGGTATATCAGGAGTCGCGGAACCTTTGAACAGAGACCACAGCCTGGTTTGAAGAGGATCACTCCTGCGTGGGCCCTGACTCGCGGTGCCAGCTGCTTCAAATCTTGGCTGTTGGCTGGGGCTTGTCGTTCCTTAGCTGTTGCTTCGTCACAAGGAAGATGCGACGTGTTCAGGCTAAGGGAAAACAGGTGTAGCAGACCCATGTAGTTGTGTGCTGGCATACAACAAGAAAGCCTGCGGGAACGCTGCCCCACCGCGGAACACGCATACACACCTCCCATCTTTTGTCCGCCGTCGAACTCGTAGTAGGTGGTGGTGGTGGTGGTGGTGGTAGTAGTGGAGGAAGTAGAAGTAGACGTATAGAGAAGTAGAAGTAGAAGTAGAAGTAGAAGTAGAAGTAGAAGTAGAAGTAGTAGAAGTAGAAGTAGAAGTAGAAGTAGAAGTAGTAGTAGTAGTAGTTGTAGTAGTAGTAGTAGTAGTAGTAGTAGGAGTAGTAGTAGCAGTAGCAGTAGCAGTAGCAGCAGCAGCAGCAACAGTAGCGGTAGCAGTAGCAGTAGCAGTAGCAGTGGTAGTGGTAGTGATAGTACGAATAATAGTAATAGTGGTAATTAGCAGCAGTACTAGCAGTAGTGGAAATAGTAGCAGTGGTACGAGCAGCTGTCATGATAGCCGTCATAGACATCCCACGACGGCAAGAACGTACAGGACCAGCAGACCAAGAGCCAACCCTCGCGGGGAAGAGTTCGACCGACCCGGAAGCATGAATCAAAACAAAAGCTGAAGCTGGGCGAAACTAGTTCTTGGTTGGGATAGCATTAAATTTGACTGTCTATTCCTTATTAAGTTTAAGTACCCTTAAACATGCAAAATGACACCTCACTATGACAAAGGAAGACTGAGCCCCAGCGTCCACCAGGGCAGCTCCGACCAGGGTCGCAGGTCCAACTCAAACGACCATGCCGAGCGGTGCCTCGGACTGGCTGCTGGGTGCAGGGTTTAGGGTTTAGGGTTTAGGGATGCTATTTTCAGGTAAATGTCTTGAATTGTGCGGGTCGGGGTGTCGGAAGTCAAGGGGCTTTCAGTTGTGGGGGTTCTTAGGCCGTGGGGTGAGCTCCGACTACGCGGTTTGTTTGGAGAACAGAACTTTAAGCTTCGTATTCTGAGGAGATGGCTGTTTCAAAGATTAGAAAAAGGTCCCGTGTGTACAACCTCGATGGGGCTGTCTTAAATCACATGCAGAATCTTGTCAAAGCAGGCTTGTAGAATCCTTACTCGGGTCTTCGGGCTGGCACGGACGTCCACAACATCCAAACCTCCCAAAAATCCGAGAGCGCCCGCCAGGACATGGCAAATCCCAGCTGCTGATGCGCCACGTGCCAGTAGGTGTCTGCAATTTGCGCTGGGTCCAGCAGCCCATCCTCGGCCGCATCATAAGAATCATCATCAGCATTCCTTTTTTCAATATCCACCCGTGCGAAGTTCTTTACATGCTCCATGTGGCTACTCGGGCTACTCATGGCTTAAACCCATCTTTTCCAGTTTGATTTCAAAATACATGAGCTCCTTTCATGCATCCAGTAAGTTAAGTCTGCCCCAAAGATCCGAAGTGGCTCTTGAAAACCCCGTTCAGACGCCAAAGACCCACAAGCCTGTGGCTAGTTGGAGCACCTTGACATGTCCCTGCAAGGAATTGCGTGCGTACGAGCGAGACAGCGAGTAGTAGGGTTTCCGGACAGTCTCTGCTACCCTAAACCCTAAACCCTAAACCCTAAACCCTAAATAACCCTAAACCCCCTAAACCCTAAATAACCCTAAACCCTAAACCCTCAACCCTAAACCCTGAACCCTGGTGAGCCCAGAATCGCGGCCGCCAGCAGTCCTGCGCAGTTCCGCGAAGTTCTCTGGCCCCATCATCTTTCCCAGGGTGTCAGGTGCATCAACCGGACCATCCACAACGATGTGCGCTATATGGATTCCCTTCCTCATCTCGCACCCCCGACTTGCTGATATCTAAGTTTCTGGGTTTCGGGTTCATTTTCAGGTTCAGGTGCTTGTGGCCGGCGTGGCGCCCCAAAAATGAAGAAAGGTTTGAAGCCAAGTTTCGACCCGAACTCTGCATTTAAGCTCTGACACAACATCCGCCGACCACCCATGGCAGCAGCGTGAGCATGCTGGCCTTCGTTTCCCCGCATGGCCGCCGTTGATGATGTTACCAGGAAGCATCCCTTCCCGTTCTGCACCATGGTCGGCATCGCAGCTTGCGCTGCCCGGAAGAGCACGAAGCAGGCCATGCGCCAGCCAAGCTCAAACTGCTTCAGGGAAGTTGCCGCGAGGGGTCGTGTACCGATCTGCGCCCCGAGGTTGAAGACGACCACTTCGATGGGTCCGGCTTCCGACGTCTCCTTGATGAGCGCTTCGATGGCGCCCGGCTCGACCGCGTTGATGAGGTGCCCGACTGCCGAGCCACCCTCAGACTCAATGTCTCGCACCATTTCATCCAGACCCTGCTTGTCGGATCTTCGAGACAGGACCACATGGTAGCCGCCCCTGGCAAAGCGCTTTGCCACGGTGCCACCAATGCCCGCGCCTGCACCAATAACCAAACAAACAGGCTTCATGCGAAACAGAGGGCTGCTACGAGCTCAACGTCATCCAAAGCTCTCGGCATCTTGTGCCCAAAGACGCTGCGCCGGGCAAATCGCTTAAAAAGTTAAAGGCGGGGATGTGCCTGTTTATGCGCCAGCATTCCGCGAGCGTGGAGTTGCAGGGGTGAGCATTCAATTTCGTACCCAATGAATGTAGGCATTGCTGATCAGGGCTACAGCACGTTCACTGCAATCCGTAGCCGGCGCATGATCGAATTCAACAAGGTGATGCCTTCATTTGCGCAGCTCCGCCTGCCAAAACTCACACCCCTGGAGTCCCCCAAGCCCATGTGCTCCTCAACCAACACATCCACTCACCCTTTACGCTGTGGGGGCTGATTTATAGGTTGGGATGTTCCCCCTTTTCTAACAGCTCCTTAATAGGATTTTAACAGGGGGCCATGGAGGAGCTGTTCGTATTAGGGGGCACATCCCAACTTACAGGTCTTAAGTCGGGTGTTCAGGGTTGCGTGCGGAATTTGTCCAAGGTGCATGTCTGGCGGCGGAGGGCCTGCCAGGTTGACATTGCGCCAGGCCTGCCATTGAATCTGCAACCAAACCCTATACCCTAAACCCTAAACCCTGAACCCTGAACCCTAAACCCTAAAGCCTAAACCCTAAAGGAAGCTCCAGCAGGCTGGGGCTGTCAACTTTCTGAAATTGGAACATCAGTGGCTGCCTCTCGGGGATCATCCTCGAGCTCGTCCTAGGTAGGCTTCCACCAGGGTGTTTCGAGTTATTTGTTTAGGGTTTAGGGTTTAGGGTTTAGGGCTTCCTTCTGGCGTAGATTAGCCTGTAGGGACTTGTTGGAAGAGAGATGTGTGTGAATTTGTGATGTGTTCTGATTCTATACTTTTGTGGCCTCGGAAAAGAATGCGCATAAGCTTGAACCACCTCGAACAGGCTGAGCCTAGGCTTTATGACAACTCAAGGCACTGACCTACGCAACGAAGACTCTGTCGGCATAGTTCTGCGCCGAAGCCCCCAAAATCCAAGCCCTTAAAACAAACATCGTCTTGAAACCACCACCATCCCTAAAAGCTGAACAAAAGCACCCCTGGGGGGGGTGGGGGGGGAAACTTAGACCCTTTTGCATCCGGGCTTGAGGCGTCAGCCGGGAAAGTTACAGATTCGGAGCCAAGCAAAGTGCCCCACCAGCTCACAGCACTTCCGGCTGCAACCCTTGATTCGATGATACCCACTGCTCAGGCAGACAGTAAGTACTAGGTGAGAGTCTTGATCAAGCAGTTCATGTAAGAATTGCCATGTGGGGCGCAAGAGCGTCACAGAGATCACCAGTCAATGTGAACACCACTTAACAAGCACAACAGCCTGCTGCACACAGAAATGACCAGAAATGTTTGCACAACAACTGCCGCAAAAGGCATGAAGCCAACTGGATACCGTCAGCAAGGTCGAGCCAGGCAAGCGTGCCCTCAATTCAATGTGGCAGCCAACTTAAACACCCAAAAACCAACTCACAAAAACCCTTTACCCTAAACCCCTTGTGCTGCAGGCTTCTAAGGGATCTCGCCGGAAACTCCAAACCCCTAATCCCTTACAAAGAGCCCAAAACCCTAAACCCTAAACCCTAAACCCTAAACCCTACCAGTGCCTTCCTGGCCTCCCTCCCGCTTCTCCGAAGCAAATCAACACGTGACAAACAGCAGCTGAACAAACCTAAAAACCTCAAAAAAGGGGTGCTTCCCAACATGTTAAGTAGAGGTATCTCTTGATGCATTACACCTCCCAAAAGTAAATGAATACATTTTTATATCTATGTATAGTTATATATATATGTGTAACCCTAACCCTTAGAAACAAAAAGAAAGAACCCCCTCTGTTTTAGGGGACCCTCCCCTCATACCCCAGCCGACTCACCCTCGACCGAGGTGCGAGGCCCAACGCCCTCGTATCGTGGGGCGAGGCCAACAGCCTGTTCAGGGCCCTTATTTGTTGCTTTTTGTGTTGTTGTAGTTCCCAAAACCCTAAACCCTGAACCCTAAATCCTAAACCTTTTTGAGGGTCTTTGTTTGGTTAGGCAAGTTGGGGAAGCGCGAGACCCCTGTAGGCACATCAGGGAGTTGGGGTTGTTTCTTGTTTTGTGGGGCTCTTGGGGTTTGGGGCTTGCTTTGGAGGTAGGGGGTCTACAATGCCCAGGGACCCTGAACCCTAAACCCCAAACCCTACAATGCGTGGGGGTTTTCGGACAAGAGGAAGAAAATTTGCCGATGGTCCCTTATCATAGAAATGAGATCCTTGTGGTTAGAAGGTTAAGAAACCTATACCCCTTAAGAACCTTAAAAGAACAGAATACGTTTAATATTCCCTTGGGCTTGAACTTTACGAGAAATCGTAAGGATGGCCCTTTAAACCATCTGAAAAATACTCCTGAATGTGACCCTCTTAAACCCAATAAGGGTAAAGCATGCCATGTCCCAAGGGCCTACCTCGTTCCTAAGTAAACGTTTAGGGTTTAAGGTTTAGGGTTTAGGGTTTAGGGTTTGGAAGCAGGGCCAGCTCGGGTTGCTGGCCTCTGGACTTCGCTGAGAAAAGCCGCGGCGGTGTCGCCTGCCAAGGCTTCCCACGGTTGGCCCTTCGAAGAAAAAAAAGGTCCCTACAAAGGGTTTAGGGTTTAGGGTTTAGGGTTTAGGGTTTAGGGTTTAGGGTTTAGGGTTTAGGGTTGGTCCTCCGAAAAAGAATCCCTAAAGATGATCCTCTTAGGCCCTTCGAAGCTCCCAAAAGGTGACGCATAAAGATGGTCCTCTTAGTCACAAAAAGGGTGAAAAAGGAAAATGGTTTCTATAAAGATGATCCCCCTGCTCACAAGGGGGGGCAAAACAATTTTGCCCTTCAAGCCTTTGAGCATGCGTTTGTTGAGATTATCCTTGTTGTCACAAGGGTGAATGAACACGTCCGCCCTTGGATTACCTGGCTTCTTTGTGCCAGGGTTACGGAAATAGCAGGTCCTAGTCTTTTGGTCCAGACGAGGGCACGTGGGGCAAGTGGCATCCTGTCTGCAACCTGCCTCGGCACAAACGTCTCCCTCACAGTCACCCTAAACCCTAAACCCCATATGTTGATTCCAGACATCTCTGCACTTTGTGTCCAACTCTCAAGCATCATCTGGGCGCACTTGCCACTGAGAGGTTTAGGGTTTAGGGTTTAGCAAGCGGGGCTTGTAGGGGCACATTTCCACTAACTAAGTATACCACCACCCAGTCGGCCAAGTGGGGCCAGATCAATCAGCAGCTGCCAATGTTGCATGACGTATGGACGAAAGCCGCATGGTCAAAGTTCTTTTGCAGAACAAGCAATAAACACTCCACCCTGATGCCTGTTGCTTACGGGCGTCTAGCTTCAAAGATGCACTAAGCCCTAAACCGTGCAAACTTAGGAGCCTATCCACACTTCGCCCCCGGTAGCCTGGCTTCTCCATCTCGACAACGCGAGCCGCCTGTTAAAGGGCCTATAAGGGCTTCGAAGGGTTTCGAAGTGTTTATGAGGGTGTATAAGTTACAATGGCTTATCAGGATAAGCACCTTTTTTTGCCACCCGTCCAGGACTGGCTCCACTGGGCAGTGACTGGTTTTTAACACGGACCTCTGAAGCCTGTCCGGAGTCCCCTCAAACCCACCACCCACTGAGGCCCGCACCGCAGAACGCCCGTGCTTCACACAAAGCGCTCAAGCTCAGAGTATGTATCTTTGATACAATCTGAATGCGGGGGCTTCTTCAAACAAGAGGATGTGTTGGTGAACTTTCAAATGTTCGGAGCGGGTCTTCTGTAATGAGGGAAGAAACTGTTGCAAAAGGTCAGGCAGTGACTGGTTGATTGCATAAACGTTTTGGGCTTTAAGTTTTTCAGGCTGCCAGGGCTCATAAGGGCTCATAAGGGCGTCTTCCTGGTTTAGAAAGGTTTGAGGGTCGAAGTTCGTGATTTGGGCTCTATGGTTTGCCATTTGGGGGATCTGGCGCGCAAGGTTGTCAAGGGCGGTAGGCTTTGGCGGCCTTGTGTAAAGTGTCCTCGGTTTCCCCCAGTTGTAGTTCACGCTTGTTGGGAACCCATCTTCGGGGGCTTATGGCCCCTCGTAAACACAACTGAGCAAAATCGAAGCGATGTTCTAAAAAGAGTTTATATAGTTTCCGAAAGAAGGGTCCCTGAAGGCATCCCCCTTTCGACAAATGGAAATTTCGGGGGGTTGCATCGCCAAGCCCGACCTCGCGCAGGATGTGGCTGCGTGGGGAAACTGATGGCACCTCGACCAGTGTGTCGTTTGGGGTGTGGGTGCATTTGGGAGTGGAGTATGAGGATGCGGTCACCTTCTAGCCATTCGAGTCCAGTGCAAGGCCTGATGGTCAGGGTTTTTCAGGATTCTGTCGGTGTGCAGAATTCGCAGGTTCTGAGCTGGAAGGCACCAGGCACCAAGACAGGGCGTGCCTGGGCTACAAAGGAAACGGAACAAAACTTTAAACCTCTGTGAAGCCACAAGAGCTCTGCACTGAGAGACTGAGGGTCTAGGCTTAGGGGCTCGAGCATGCATTGTGAGAGCAAGCTAAGGGCAGGCGCCGCAGCGCGAACGGCAGCTGCGAAGTCCTTCTCCTTGGCCAGCAAAGCGAATTTCGGACACATGAGCTCACCCTGAATCGCACACCCACGGTCGCCCCACACGTAAAAGTTCAACATTCAGTAGCCATTGTGGTGCTAAGGCTGGGCCATTGCCGGCTGTAGCAACATACAGGATTTCAAGAAGCTATTTCCTAAAGCCCCAGACAGGTAAAACGTCTAGGCAGCCTCATGTTCCCAGATTCCCTTTGACAAATGCCTGGGTAGCAGCCTCTGAACGGGAGGTCTGGGACCATGGTTTGCGTACTTACAAGCACACACGAACAGGCCCTAAACCCTAAACCCTAAACCCAAAACCCAAAACCAGGGGTTCGTCGGTGGGGCTTCGGTCTTGCTGCCCCGAGCACCCCATGAAGTGCCCGGAACTCGCGCAGGAGCGCGGTCAAAGTGTCGAGGTCTTTCCCTTCAGCCCCTGCGAAACTAAGGTGCTTCGGAGTGTTTTGAGGCTTGGCACTCCCTGAGGCTCGTTTGGGGCCTGGGAGTCTCTGCACTGCTGTTCCAGTCAGGGGGAACCTACTATTGCTGCTTTCCGTGACCGCTGCCGCAAGTAACCCCGCCAGCTCTGCACGGCTTATAGTCCCAAGCCCCCGCCGCACGCATTAAGTGGGAGAGGCATTTAGGTCTTACGGAGTTTACGAAGATAGGGGACCGGCAAGAAAGATCCCCCAAACGGTAGGAGTCCTTCATCATGAGGACCTCAACAAGGTACCCCTACTTTTGGAAACCCCCATGGGGTTTTAAGGGGGTTCTTGTCCCGCCTGCATGGGACGCCAACTTGGCGGCGGCTGCGGCCGCGTCGCCGGCGCCGATCTCAGCAAGACCGCGTGAGGCCCGTGGATAGTCCGCACCTCTGAGTCAAAGGTTGATAGGATTATAGGGCTGATAGGGTTTGTATCGCTCTTGCCTGGGAGACTACCAGCCTGAAACTTCATTAGAACTAAGCTCCATGTGACATTTCCTTTCCACTTGCAAGCCCTCAGAAGCACCATAAAGATTCAGAAGCACACGTCTGCAACGTAGAGAAGCCTCTAAAACCCACTTGGAGGTTCACTGGTTGTTACAAGTAATGTTATAATCAGGGTAACGATCCCTATAACCCTACTTAGTAGGGTACTTTTTTTTTACCCTAAGTACGAGTTCATCGGTATTTGCAGTGTTTTCGGCGTGTACTACTTGTACACAAGTGCGTGGAAGCAAGCAGAAGAGTAGTGTAGACAAGAAGCTATTATAATTGCTTAAGAACCCCCAAAAATGAAACATATTTTCTTCTAAGGGTAATATAGGGAATACTATTTGTTTCTTCTTTTGGGGTCTTAAGCAAATAGTAGGAAGGGTGTAGATCTTTGGGGGGGGGGTGACCAATTGTAACTGCCCATGAACCTCCAAGCATGATCAGAGCCTTGGAGCCCTCGCCGTAAGCCCGAAACCCGAAACCCGAAACCCTAAACCCTAAACCCGAAACCCTAAACCCGAAACCCTAAACCCTCTGAATGCAGCAAAGCTGCGAGCCCGGGTAAGCCACTGCCGCCACCGGCTTTCAAGGCAGGCCGGCCCCGGGCTGTCGGCAGTGCAAGGCCGTCCTCAGTGTTTCGGGTTTATGGGTTTATAGGGTTTAGGGTTTAAGGTTTTGCAAAGGTTTAGGGTTTTGGGCTTAGGGCTTAGGGTTCAGGGTTCACTTGCTGCAGTTCCCTAAGCCCTTTTGAGCATATTCGGGCGTTGGGAGCCAATAGGGGATGCAGGGCCGGAAGTCATGTCGCAGTAATTAAGGGCTACGATGGCTTGCTGAGAGGTCGTGGGCTTCGTGCCCATGAACCGGGGTCTTATGTTTCCTTGGCAGTGCCAGATACCAGCCTCGTTTGCTGCCCAAACATCTGCCGATGGTTAGGTTTGGAAACGAGCTTGGCGTCCCTGCATGCTAGGTCGGCATCCTTGTCGCTCTAGCGGGGGAAACCAGCGAGCCGGCGCAAATCCGATCTTTGAAGGCCTGCTTTCTCTTGTCAAGCCTCAATTCCCTGGAAGCCCCAAACGAACCAAGCCTTGTGCCGTCTGAACCCACTACCATGCCTTCGGGTATAATTGTAAAAATAAGGGAACCCTATGTGTATTGCTCCACGTGTAGGGTATAAAAATGAGGGTCCGCTATCATAGGAAATGCCCCACGAAGGCCAGCAGTAAACTCGTAAAATCCGCATTGGGGGCCCCCCTCCAACGGTTGAAGAGCCGGCTGAGACTGGCTGGTTCTTAGCAGGGAATGCGGGAACTAAGGCCCTGCTTAATCCTTTAAAGGGTACATCTCTCGGGCCCTCATTCCCTCATTCCCTACTAAGAACCAGGGGTAAGAAGGCGCCTGTGGCTGGAAAGCCGAGTCGAAGCTCCATGCGAGCCACGCGGCAGACCTGACGGGGTTTCGCTTATGGTTTGTTTTCTTGTTTTGTTTGTTGGTTTCGGTCTTCTTTTTATGTTTTACAGCTTTGGGTTGTTGGGGCTTTGAGGTTTTGGGGCTTGGAAGATCAGAGCTCATAGGGCAGTTGCGGCTTAGGGCTTCTGAGGTTTAGGGCTTCTGAGCTTTTCGCTAAGTCAGATCGTAGGGATGAGGGCTTCAGGGCCTACATCGTTTTCGAATAAAGGGGCGGCTAAGAGGGCTCACAGGTCTCAGAGGGCTTAAGGGGTTTGTACTGTCCCATGTGCGCCGTTCTCAAACATAGGATACCCGTATAATCGCCCAAAGTAACATTATCTTTCTTGTAGGGGAACCTGCCAAAAAAGGGTTTCATACTGTCCCATATAGGTAGTTCACCCCACATAGGATACCCATATGATCGCACCCAAAAAAACCCATGCTGCCTAAACCCTAAACCCAAGCTAGCGGCCCCGTGCTTCTTCTGTGCGGGGCAAGTCCGGCAAGAAAAAGTCCCATGATGCGAAGGTGTTGAGGATTGTTGCTTTTCTCCCAGGTTTCCTGAGGCATCTTTATGGGATTGGGCTTCAAAGGCACCCAACAAATCGCTGTTGCATGTGGATCCTGCAGAGGGCGGGCGGCAGACAAGGCTCCTGAATCCTTGAACAAGCAACCCGGAAGAGCCTAATGTAGGGGTCGGAATGACTACCAACTGTTCTAATTCTTAAGGTGTTCTGAGTATTAAGGCCCCTCTAAATTTGATTCTGAGTTAAACCCGACTGGAGCCTACATGCTCGAAGTCCAAGTTCAATTGTTTCAAGTCCTCGAGTCTACGAGGAAGAAAACCGAAAAACCTTCAACAGCCACGAACCAGGACCTCAAACAGCTCAAAGGGTACTACTGGCGAGCTAGGCCTTCTTCCAAAATCCCTAAACCGAAAACCCTAAACCCGAAACCCGAAACCCTAAACCCGAAACCCGAAACCCTAAAGCCTAAAGCCTAAAGCCTAAAGCCTAAAGCCTAAAGCCTAAACAGTAAACCCTAAACCCTAAACCCTAAACCAAAACTACCTTGTCACCAAACACGGGGGCTCTTGGGACTTCCCAACAAGCTTCCACTGGCCTCGAAAGTCTCGTTGAAGCGGTCGAGGATGTGGGCGGCCTTTGGTTGCCCAAAGGCTTTGCTTGGAGGTTCATGGGTAGTTAGAAGCGGGGGTAATAAATAGGGCAACTCTTCTTATACTGGTTGTAACCCTATTTAGGGTACTTAGAACCCTACTTGTAACTACCCACGAGCCTTCAAGTAGGGGTCGTTGAGCAGGGGCAACAGCAACTGCCAGCCTTTCAGACTCTTGGCAGATGTGAAACACCCTAGACCCTAAACCCTAAACCCTAAGCCCTAAACCCGAAACCCTAGACCCTAAACCCTAAACCCTAAAAAGGCCATTGACATCCGAGGCTGCAGCTTCCTGACGGTCCATCCACTCGCCTCGCACTGCAACACCAAATTACAAGATCTTGCCTAGGAAAGTTCAGGTGGGGGGTTTACGATATTTGGGGTACCTTATTGGTGTCCTTATAATAAGGGGAAACCCTAAACCCTAAACCCTAAACCCTAAACCCTAAGCCCTAAACCCTAAACCCTAAACCCTAAACCCTAAACCCTATTTGGGGTGTAGGGTCCCTTATTATTGTAAACCCCCAGGTGACGAGGCTCAACCTCCAAGTCCTGACTAACGAATTAAAGGTTCTAAGTTGGTGAGCCCAGGGAAAGACTCTCAAATCTCACACCCCAGGCCTAAAGACTCCCTAAAAGCTACTTTTTCTGTGCCTGAAAGACCCAATTAACATACTGAAACCCTCTCTAAAGCTACTTTTCTGTGGCCTTGAGACGATGAACCCCTCTGAACGTGTCGCCGGGCCTGGCTGCCGGTGGGGCCAGAGCTGCGCATCCTCGCGCAGGGCTGTGTGACAGACTAGAGGATCAGGCCCGAGGGCTTTGGGCCTTAAATGGGCTCCCACATAGGAGCATCAGGGCTCAAGTATATACTATCTGATGTCTGGTACAGAGCTTCAGGGCTCAAGTATATACTCTCTAGGTACATGGACCGTGAGGGAACGGGCTCCAGAAGCTGTATACGGATGCGAGGGACCTGAATACCGTAGCTCCAGCAACACCCTCCTGCGGAAAATAATCATTGTTTCTTATCCAGGTTCCCCAGTATCCCTAGGACAAGTACACCTCTGGTTTAGGGAACCGAGCCACTGCAAAAGGGGATGCGGGCACCACTGTGAGGCCTCGTGGACCTCCAACAGCTCTCTGAGATTCCGGATACGGATGTTGTTCTACATCCGCCGAAGGCGTTTGTAGACGAACGGCCCACCTCCTTCATCCCCCCCTCCTGGTTCAGGGCTTATAGGGTTTAGGCGAGAGGCATTTGGGCGGTTTCCCCTAGTTGTGGACCCAATGTTCCCTGTAAACACTGTTACGAACCCTATATGCTCACCTGCCATGCCCACCCCCCCCCCCCCCCCCCCGATTTAACCTCCTACACAACCTTACAGACAACCCTAAGGTCCTTTTTTTGGGACGTATATACCTATGGGAATATAGGGGGACCAACTGTGCAACAACCCGATTTCGGAAACACCGCGCCGGCTCGCGGTCGGAGACGAACGAGGTGCCGGTCAGCGCATCTGCCAGCCTTGACACGGAAGCTTCATCGGAAATGACAGTCGAATCCCCTCTGACCCCAAAAGCTCTCGAAGTTCGCATGGGCGCGAGGCTGTGTCTGGAGACTTCTAGGGGCTTCAGACGTGCCAGGGCTACCATCAATGACATGTATACCCCAGCAATGCCACACCTTAAGGTTCGCTTCTTGGGCAAAGTTGGTTGTAGGCTAGGGCCGGCTTGACTTACTGTTGGTTAGGTTAGTAGGGAATGAGGGAATCAGGTACTCTAGATAATGACTTAAAGGGTATATAGAGGGGGATATAGGGTACCTCATTCCCTCATTCCCTACTAACCAACAGGAAGTTGATTCTCAGGGTCTCCCTGGCAGTCCAACCTCTGCAGGTTCCATCTCGCAATGTCTGGCTGCTCGCCGAAAGCATACCTGTCCAAGGTGACACCCGCGTTTAGCGTTTAGGGTTTAGGGTTCAGGGTTTAGGGTTCGGGGTTTAGGGTTTAGGGTTCAAGCACCTAGAAAAATGCCTGTGTTTCGTCCGGACATCTCGGAGAAGCTGCCTTGAACAGTCGGGTCGGGTTGGAAGGGCAGGGAGACACGCACCATGTGTCGCTATGATGGGTTCCGCCCTTAGCAGCTCCGGCCCCAGACTCCCTAAACCCTAAACCCTAAACGATTTAGGGTTTAGGGTTTAGGGTCAGCAAACCAAAGCCTGAATGGCAGGACTGAGGGAGTGGCAATGCCTACTACTTGGCTGCCTGCTGATCCTTTCAGGTACCTTGACAACCCACAGTGCAGGACGCCGTAAGACACACACACAGAGCCAAACAAACTAACCCTTAAACCCTTAAACCCTAAACCCTAAACCCAAAAACCCTAACAAACCCTAAACAGTGTATGATAAAAACCGACTCTTCGAACCCTAAGACCTCTTGGGAGCCTAGGTCTTCTCACAGGAATTTAAGGCTTGACTCTTCTGAGGCAAGAGACGCACTGCAGGATGGCGCAGCCTTAAGAACACCCCCTCCGCCTTCAGAGAACAGAACCCTAAGAACGCTTTAGGGTTTAGGGTTTAGGGTTTTAGGGTTTTAGGGTTTAGGGTTTTAGGGTTTTAGGGTTTAGGGTTTAGGGTTTAGGGTTTAGGGTTTAGGGTTTAGGGTTTAGGGTTTAGGGTTTAGGGTTTAGGGTTTAGGGTTTAGGGTTTAGGGTTTAGGGTTTAGGGTTTAGGGTTTAGGGTTTAGGGTTTAGGGTGTTCAGGGTGCTGAGGTCGAAACCCTAAACAACCGCTTTGCAGTAGGTTTCAGGGCTCAGGAGCCCTGAAACCCTGAAAGGTATGTACACAGAAGCAGGAGCAACCAAAAACAACTAAGTTCTTCAGTAGGCCCTAACCCCCGCTGGCGTTCAACTGCTCCCCGGCCCCCCCCCCCCCCCCACCACAAAAAAACAAAAACACACACACACACACACTCTCTCTCTCTCTCTCTCTCCGTAGTTGGTCTGGATGTCAGACACGTCACCCTGAGAGCCAGGAACAGCTTCTTAGCAGCAGTGAGGCGGCAGGGTCACTCAAAAAAAACGAAAACGAAGAAAGCCCCCTAGCCCTAAACCCCAAACCCCCAAATCCCCAAACCCCTAGATCCCTGAACCCTAATATCTCTAAACCCCTAAATTCCTAAACTCCCTAATCCCTCAAAACCTGTTGAGCCCCTTGGAACGTCGACCTGGCGGTCTCATCGATGTAGTTCGGCTGCCACGTGGGATCGTAGGTGGAGAGGAAGCCTGGGGTTTAGGGTTTAAGGGCTTCGCTTAGGGTTTAGGGTTTAGGGTTTAGGGTTTAGGGTTTAGGGTTTAGGGTTTAGGGTTTAGGGTTTAGGGTTTAGGGTTTAGGGTTTAGGGTTTAGGGTTTAGGGGATGTTGGGGCTTATATAGGGCTTGGAGATGCCTAGGGCAATTCTCGTATGTGACGCGTGTCATCATGCTTGCGCAGGGGTTGAGGTACTCTTATGGCGTGGGGCTCAGGGTAGCAGCCGTTGGGTTTGGAGCCTGCCGTGACCGCATGGAAGACACAGAGAGGATCGAGGGTGGAGATACAGAAGGGGAAAATTCCGATGCTGATCTCCCAGGCCCTGCGACCCTAGCAGACATCACCACGCACGGGCCATAAGAGACATCCAAGGACGGAGTAGCAGACCATGCGAATTACGTACCATGAGATGTGTTGAGACTAGGCGCCAAAGACATTCAGGTCCACGGTGATGCCCAAAAGGCTCAAGTTGTCTGTGTTCATGACGCCATGCGCAAAGCCAACCTCGCTGCCAGCTTAGTGACGTTTCCTGGTTGGTTCTCAACTTGAAAACCTCGTCATTCATTCAGCCGAGGAAAGGTTCAGTTCAGGCTTAGTTTGGGGCTTCCCGTCCGAGTACCGCGAGTTTTGTCGCGCGTTACGAATGTTCATAGATGTTTCTTGGTAGGCTCTCTTCTTGACATATATACATATACATATACAAATATGTGTGTGTATGTATGTATGCATGTATGTGTGGATGTATGAATGTATGCATGTACATGTACATATATAATGTATATATATATATATGTATATCAGGTGCATATATATATATGGCAGTAAGTGCGCATGCATGTAAACACACATGTGTGTACATGTATGTGAATACAAAGTCAAAAGAAGACCAAATGAGACATGCATATATATATATAACACACACACACACATTTTTGTGTAGCTAAGAGATTTACGAAAATTATAGGGGAACATGTGTATTGTATATATATATATATATATATATACATGTGGAGGAGACACAGAGAGAGAGAGAGAGAGAGTGAGAGATGTATGCACAACAAAAGACTTGGCAATTAAGTCAAAAAGAGTAGCATATTCTAAAGAACCTCGGCCCAAATGCCATCGACCAGGGACTGCCATCCACGCCGCCAGTAGTGCAGCTGTGCGCTCCGTGACGCGGCGGAGGAGGCAGCGGAGGAGTTCTGCACCTCAGGCAAACGTTTCGGACAGCCACCGTCTTCTACAGCCTCTGGATACTGAACAAGGCTTGACCTGGATGGGCCAGTTCACCCACAGGCTAGAAGACTCTTAGTCTTGGCGGAGGCTTCCTGGAGAGTTTGGATCCATCACGAAAGCCTCGGAAGGAGTGCCGGGCATCCAGAACCCAATCCTTTTTCGGTATTTTGGAGGGGAGACGCCCTAGGACCCCAATGTCAGGTTCCTTGAGGGGTGCTAGGCGGCCAAGACAGTTGTGCTGCCAACCGTCAACAGCACCTCATTGATTGGAAGTCCCTCCGCAAGAAACAAACATAATAAAAAATATTTGTATACGCATACACTGAAAATACATCTATCTCTTTACTTTTCTACATATTTACAAGAGCAACTGCCCTGAGCGTGACGGGGCAGTCGGCCACTGCAACTGAGGCCCCCCGCGCGGCAGCGACTGTGCCTGGGCAGCGCAGCTGGCCTGTCACAGGCGTGCCATAGCGGTTTCCGAAAACAGAGGACCCTTTTGGGGGGGTCCCTTTAAGGTGCTTCTATTCTATTTGGGGTATAAAAGGGATACCCCTATTTTTAGAAATGACCATCTGAGGACATTTTTTGCCACCCTCCAAGCTAGTACCGTACGTGACACTCTCCTCATTTGGCTCATCGCTTTTGAGCTTCTCCGGGGAGGCACAACCCTCTGCATCTTGAATGTATTCTCAAGGTCTGAAAGACGCTTTTGCAGTTGCCAAAGGGGCCCTAAACCATAAACCCTAAACCCTGAAGGGGAGCCCCCCTGGCAAGGTCTCAGGTATCTCGGTCGGTCTACAGGATTAGGGTGTAGGATTTAGGAGCGAAGGTTCTGAAACGGAGCCTCCGGCAGCTTGCCGTAGAAGCAGCGCGCGCGCAACTCTGGTGGCACAGTGACAGGCCTGGGCCGCGCGGTGGCTTCAGGGTTTCGGGGTTTACCCAAAGGCTCCTATGTAGTACCTTTTTGGGGTAGCATACCAAAATCCCCTATAACTAACCCAAAAAGGAACTACATTGGAGCCTTTGGGTAGGGTTTAGGGTTTCGACTCTCACACTCGCACAAGGCCGGCAAGGCATCGGCTGGTAGGTCACGAAGTTTGATGTTTTAGGGTTTAGGGGTTTCGGGTACAAAGAAAACTGCTCGCGGAGTTCAATGGTGAAAAGATGGCTGCGACATGGGATTTTGGTGTCCGCACTTCTGCTTGGCCCAGTCGCAGCTGGTCCAGGTAGGCGGTCGCAGCATCCTGGGACAAGCTCTGCACTGCATGGGCGACAACAACATTATTAACCGTACATCTACTCGAACATCGGCGAATAGTGCTGTGCTAGTAACTGACATACGTATGGACATGCACCAACGCCGACATGGTAATTGCAATGTGCACACCCAGCGTCTTTACGCAGACACCCTTGGCAATGGAACTCGGGTCTTGTAGTCCGAGAAGCATCATGAGCCTCCATGCGCGCTACAGCTGCTAGCACGTAGCGGGCAATCGTCTCCACACCGGAGAGGCCCTGTCCTTAATCCATAGTCGGTTTAGGGTTTCGGGTTTGGGGTTTAGGGTCTACGGTCTCTTCTTCGCCGTCGCATTGCAAACCCTCAACCCTCTCTAAGGGAGGAGGGGCGGGGGGGGTGCTAGCCGCTTTGGGTTTAGAGTTTGGGGCGTAATCCTGAAGCCGAAGCTTGTACTTGGGGGCTTTTAAAGAACTCAGAAAGCTGGCCATATGCGGGATTATCTAAAGTAGGGTCTTTTTTGGCAGCTCCTATTATGTAGGCTCCAATTTTATAAAGGGACCATTATTTTGGAGAACTGACCATAGGAAACCTGAAGATCTCATCTTCCCGAGGGGCGCTTGGCGGCGAGCTGAAGGGAGCCGAAGCGGAGAAAGCCTGGTTTTTCTCAACTCCGTAAAATGGAGGGGGCTCAAAAACAAAAAACAGCAGCACTATTTATGGGTGGTTGTCAAAATTATGATTCCTGTTGGGGTACCCTGAATATTAGGTGCCGTATGGTCATGGGGATCCAAAAGGGGACCATAACTTTGACAACCACAAATTTAAATCTTTAAAGAGAGCTGCAGTTTAGGGTTAGGGTTTCAAAGCCTTCTGGCTTGAGGTCGAGGGTTCAAAAGCAGGCGTTAGAGCTGTTGGGGTACTGGGAGACATCATGGGGTGCCACCGGCCCGTACTCAAGAAAAAACGACGCTATACCACGGAAGGGCTAATCTCGGGGCATACACAAGAGGGCCCCCCACTTACAAGTAGTTAGCATGAGTTGCATATGGACATAGTAGACTTACAAGTACTTAGCGTGAGTCCGACATAGGCAACTTAGCAAGCGGACTTGCAAGTTCTGTATCTTTTTCTATGTTTATGCACCATGACATTTTCTGATTCTGGCAACGAGCTGACTTTAGCCCCCAAAAAGCGCGAAAGAGTTTGGAGAGATTTAATAGCACATTTAGAAGGGTTTGTTGGTGTTAGATTTGAGTTTAAGTGTTCCTGCAAGTTCGCACAGTCCATTGTTGCACGAGACGGTGAGGCAAAAACAAACTTTGGGGGCACAAGCTGGGCAACACAAAGCCCCAAAAGTTCAGAACATTCCCGGCACTCAGTTTAACCAAAGAGACAGAAGCACAAGGATGCCAGTCTGAGAGTCTTAGGCAAGCGAATTTCCCCGCTACAGGCATACCTTGGGATCCTTCCGCGTTCAGGTACGTGAAAGAAGTGCGCTTGCGGACACATGTGCGCCCACTATTGTTTTTTCTAGCGGCAGCTGCGGATACCTGCGCGTCCACGCCTCAATCACGCCATGATACGCGCGGATACACACGCGCCCACACCCTGTTTTTCGGCATGTGCGGACACAAGCGGACACACGCGGACACACGCAGACACAAGCGGACACAAGCGGGATACACACGCGTCCACATGTCTTTGGTGGCATACAACAAAACTACATGTCGGCACGGATTGCTACAATTCAAAAAGCAAGGATGTGCTTGCAAACTACAAAGCCTATCTTCATCCGCCCATAAAATGAATAAGTCTGTGTTCCATGCTATATACGCATTTCAAACATGGCAGCTGCCGAGACAAATATGTAGAGCGGTCCTTGCTCACGGTTGCTGTTTGTGCAAATTTCGCAAAACCAGTCCCAAAAAAATCCCTCCCCGCCCCAAAAAAAAGCAGGGCCCAAAAAGATAGTTTGGCTATCTCTTTCCATATAAAACTCTGTATCTCCCTTATCCAGGCTTGTATTTTTAGGGCTTACTTAGCAGACATGTTGTATCGGATTTGTAACTGGACTTGCAAGGGGGGGGCCCACTCTTGTAGCGACGAAAACTAAGACCAGACGCCACCTAAGCCTCTTGCGCATCAGAATTCTTCTCCACTGCGCGCCATGCAAGCCCTAAACTTGAGGGCTCCGTAAAAACCAGGGTCCGCTGTTGTGTGCTTTGGGGCTTCATTGTTCAACAGCCTCAGCTAAACCATACTTCTTGTGAGATGATGCTGTGAAGTCCCCCTACGCGATTTGCGGGAGATCAGGGGGGACGGCCATCGCCGGCTGGCCGCTTGGCATGCTCCGGACCGTGATGCCGGGCTTCTTGAAAGCAGCCTTTGCAGCATCACCCTAAACCCTAAACCCTTAAATCCCCTTTGCTCGCCTCAAGCCCCAACAACCTGGGTCCACAGCAGGGTTGAGATGAGGATTCTGAGGGCTGAAGAAAAACTAAAAACCATGAGCTGCAGGGCAAAGCGGAGGGAGGTCTTGGAATTAGTGGGAGTGTGGGCTGGGACGGTTTGAGGTGCTGAGCTGCGCCAACCTCAAACCCAGAACTGAGACCCTGAGGCCTTTGGGACCTGCGAACTGCTCAAGCCCACTTGAGCCTAAGTCAGTGTCATTGTATGCAAATGGAAGCGGCAGCGACTCCTGTCCACCAGACTAAGCGACCGCAGCCGGGATTGAGGGTTTTTGGTGTTGTTGGGGGAGAGGGGTCGGGTTGAGGATTTAGAAGGCTTTTTTTTCGCAGGTTTAATATGGTTTAATATTGCTTAATGTGGTTTAATGTGGTTTAATATGGTTTAATGTTTTACTCAAGATTTAGGGCTTGGGCGGCTCAAGCCCAGGGCGTCGGATGGCTTTTGGGCTTGGGTGAGTTTAGCTGCTGACCATAGTGCCTAGACCCTCAAAACCGGTTTAGGCACGGCCCCCAGACTCTGAGACCTAAACCCTAAACCCTAAACCCTAAACCCTTTTGCAACCAGGTCTCTGCAGCCAGCCGGGTACTAAGGACAACCCTAAACCCTAAACCCCTAAACCCTAAACCCTAAACCCTAAACCCTAAACTTCCCCTAAGACCCTGGGGACTTGGTAGCCTCTGGCCTCTCCAGAGTACCACTCGTCGCGGATGATTCGGTCCTCCCCCCCATGCAGGACGAAAGGCCCGGAATACCAAGCCCCCGAATATTATATTCCCCCGTTATAGTATATGGGGGGGGGGGGGGGTATCTAATATTCGGGGTTAAGGGGGTTTGATATTAGGGAAGAGGGCCTCTAGGGCTTAGGGCTCAAGGTTTCAGAGCTCTCTTTCTGAGGCCCCCCTATTGTTTAACAATACTGACGCGAAAGCGTTCATGATTCATGGACTAGTCCCTATAAGCCCTACTGCAGAGACACAACAAGCCCTAACAGCACAAAAACCCTGTACGACCGACAGGCAGAGAGTAAACTAACTCTCCAGCATCCTTCCTCCTCGAAGTCACTTCCCAACACGGCCACAGTGCTGGCCACCTTTGGCTATATGACTTTAGTGTGCTTGAAGGTTCATGAGTAGCTATACGTAGCTAGAGTTAAACGTACCCTCAATGGGAGTTTCTAAATGAAAAGTTACCCTACCATCGAACCTTCCCGTAAACCACCCAATTAGCCTTTACGTGTGCTTGAGCCTGTGAGGCTTAGGTCCGCCATGTTGAGAGAACTGGCCGAAGATGGCTTACTTGGAGGTTATTCAGGGACTTGTGCTTAATAATAGGGGTTCGAGGTTTGGGTGGGGATGGGGGGCATCTCTCCGCTTCGGTCGGTAGGGCTTTGGGTAGTGCCAAGAGGCCCATACTTCGAAGTTAAAAGGCCAAGATGTCCAGGATTCGGCTACGGGCGGAATAACCTGGCCTCTGGATCCTTATTGACCCGAAAGAACCCCTAAAGACCCCTGGTTTGGTGGGTAGGACCTAACCTCGCCACTTGTGACGCTAAGCCCCAACCCGAACATGTATGTCCAAACGATCGTTTGAGGTGGAAATGGGTGCAAGACTTGGGCATTTTGGTGTACATCTGTTACGGCTGGGGTTTTGGGCAGCTAAGGTGAGGTTCGGGTATGGACAAATTGGACAAGCCGCATGGATGGTGGCGGGAGGTATTCGCAGGCCAAGCGCTTGCGATATCAGTATGGGCTTCATACAGTGTCTGCACGCCACTAGCTAGTGACTGCTTTCAAGACTTACGATTTCGTAGCGATCAGTCTTACTGACAATCTGCCAAGGTGCAGGCACCCCAGCGGCCTCCAAGAAGATGGGCCTCGCTTTTTTTGGTGCTGTTTTGCAAACGATGATAGCGGGCGTGGTGGTAAAAGAGGAAACAAGTAAACTTGATGATAGCAATAGTCATAAACGTTCACTCGTCATACCAGTAATAGTACCCGCATCAGGAGCAACAGGAGTAATAGTAGTAATAAGACTAGTAGTGACCGTAACAATAAGAAAGTGAAAGCAACCACTGTAGTAAAACTGACAACAGTCATCACACCAACATTAAAGCCATAACAAAGTGATCGCAATGACCGATAAGCAGCAAAGTCGTGACAGTCGTAGTCATTGTGACAGTCGTAGTCTAGTAGCAATAGTAACAACAAACTATAATAATGTGTATTTATATATATATATAAATGTGTGTGTATGTATGCATGTTTTATGTAACTATTGATGTTTATGTAATCAGAATACTATAAACAAAAATACGACTACTAACCACACTAAGAATAGCTCTCCTGATGGGAGTATAGAGCCATTCTATACTCCCCATAGAACCCTAAAACACATACTACTTTTCATATCCTCTTGGGTTCTATTTTTGTTCATTTTTATATTAAAAAAATATTTTACAAAAATTCCAAGGGGGATATGGCTATTTGCAAGCCCAGGAGCGCCAGGAATTCCCGCGCCGCGTTTGCCAACGTCGCCCGGCCGTCGCTGCCCCGACTGTAGGGCGTCTTCCCAGCGCCTGAGGGATCGGGGTGTATAGGGTTTAGGGTTTATAGGGTATAGGGTTTAGGGTTTATAAGGGTTTAGGATTGATAAGGGTTCATATAGGGTTCAGGGCTTAGGATTCAGGGTTTTAGGGTTTGGTCTCAAGGATTCGGGAGGGTTTTGAAGGGCTTGGGGGTTGCTGTTGTTGCTGCTCTTGTGGCTCTCATTATTCTTAGTACTCTTTCGGTAATCTTTGAACTGCCTACTTCTGAGCTTTGAGTTTGAGAGTTTGGCAGTTGAGGGCTTCAGGGTTCTTGAAAGGATCTCTGAAACCTCCATGGGACGAGAGTGGAGTGTGCGAGAAGCGCACACTATACTGAAGGGGCTGACTGAAGGGGTGTAGAGTTAGATTGGGTGCGTGCGGAGGCAAAAGGGAAGTAGGTCAAGGACTCGACGATTTCTGAGCACTTCCCAGGCACGCAGCGAGCACCAACACAAGTACGTAGGGTTTAAGGTTCTCAAGGTTTAGGGCCTAGGGTTTAGGGACATTAAAAGCCGGGCAGAGCTCTTGACCCTAAACCCAAAAACCCAAAAACCCTAAAACACATAAACACCCCTTACAGCTCCTTTGAAGCTCCATTGGCGCCTTTGAGGGTCAGTTCCCATGGCCACCAGCGAGCATCTTCCTTCGGAACTCGGAATGCCCAGGTGCTTTTGTTGTGCCAAGTGCTTGTGTAGTAAGATTAGGGGAGTTAGGGGTTTCGACACTTCAGTTTGAATCAATTCGCACTCGTACGAAGTGGCGTATGGCGGTACTACCTTCTTCAGATCATGCATGCAAGGCCATGCAGTTGGCGCTTGTTCTGGGCTAGAAGTTCTCGGAACTGGACATCACTCAATGCATAACCCCTCAGACCAACACGAGTTCTTGGTACCAGTGGTTGAACTATCAGCCTAACATCTTGACAGGGAGCGCATTGCATTGGTTCGGAACGTCCCCTCCCCCCAGTTCGAAAAGCCCCTCAACCGCCTCGTCCTTTGCCCTTTACGGCGGTTTAGGGCTTAAACTTGAACGAACACCCAGACACCAGAAATGAAGAACACATTTGGGGTTTTACGATATTCGGGGTACCTTATTGGGGTCCTTATCATAAGGGGATCCTACTATTGGGGGTCTTTTATTTATCCCGACACCCTTTTCTTTACCCCTAAACCCCTAAACCCTAACTTCATTCGCGGAGTCCAAACCCCCGGGCCTCGCCCGGCGCCTGCGAAGGAGCGAAGCCAAGAACCTCCCCTGCCGAGGGCTCAGGCGCATGGCTCCTTTTGATTCGGGTTTAGGGTTTAGGGTTTGGGGTTTGGGGTTTGGGGTTTGGGGTTTGGGGTTTGGGGTTTGGGGTTTAGGGTTTAGGGTTCCGAGAACTCAGGCGCCACAGGCCCCCCCCCCCCCCCCCCCCGAAACCTAGAGACATGGCTCGGCCGTCGCCCAGCTGCCCAGACCAGGAGCCAAACCTCGAGTCGAGGCTTTGACGACTTCTTGGGCTCGCAGGCTCCAGCCCTGAAATGCAGGCAAAGAGATTCAGCAGGGCAGGCTCTCAGCAGCGGGTTTCGGGCAACGAAACTTCCAGACTTGCCCCGTGCTTCTGTCGTGCTAAATGCACCCAGATCCCAGACCTCACGGCCACCTCGAATTTCAGCTTAATTTCGCATAGCCCGTGCAGTCCTAAAGCCTAGCTGAGCCCCTACCAGCTGCATGCGGGCATCTGGTGTCCGCCGTAGGCGTGACAGAAGGGCTGCGCACGGCGCGGCAGCTCCACACCGGAAAACAGTGCAGTCAGTCCTGCCTTAGGTCGCCACGCACTCACGCCACAGCCCAACGCACAAACAATTGTGTAGTGATAGTAGCCTGCATGTCGAAATGCAATTGCTTTGACCCGGTACTATAGAGGGTGTTTAAGTGACAGCCTCTAGAGCTCACTAGGTACATGCCTGTTGCTTCTGCTTGCCTTCGTTCTTTCTGGAAGCAACTTCGGGTTCTGAGTTTCTACGGCATGTTTTCAGGCTCACGCTTTCCTTGCTGTGCAGGAGCCTCTGCCAAAACAGACAGGCACGAAACGCCAAAGCCCCCGACTAGGGAGCTTACGGGTTTGGTTCAGGCTTTAGACGTGGGGTTGAAGAAGGGGTGAGCTACAAGCTCGTGCCCAGACTCTAGAGTCTACGTTGCATAACCCAAAAACTCCAAACACGAACCTCCATCCTGAAATCGGTGCCTTGTCGTTGGCATCGAGCCCCAAGCGCCGTGCCGCGGCTGCATTGACCAGGGCCAGGCGTGCTGGACCCCGGAAAGGCTGTGGCCTTTGGGGTGCGAGGGTTCGGCAGCTTCACGGCATTTTACAATAGAGCTGCTGTAGAACGAATGGTCCAGCCGCGTACGCTATGTGATGACAGGCGCTAGGCTGGAGGCCAACTGAACTTGAGCCACACCTCTAGAAGGTGCGTCATTGGGCCTTAGTATACGTCCACGCCAGAAACACCAAAACCATCTCAGAACATACAGATGTTGTATGCTGTGAACTCCATACCTTGTAAGGCTGACCAAACAGAGCAACATCACAAAAACAACTTCCATTGCAAACCTCGACCTTTCTGTGCTACCAGCATCATGCAAGTTGAGCACACATCCTTGCTCCACGACATTCTCGCCTCGCCCGAGATACCGATGCGTTGAACACCTGCAACGCACGAAATCAACGGTTTCAGGAAAGAGGTCGGTTTGGGCTCAGGAGCACTATGTGCTCGTCGTCTCGGTGTCGTCTTTGTGTTTCTGTCTTCAGAGGGCTGGACAAGAGTGAAGATTTCCTGCTGAATCCCCCCCCCCCCCAAAAAAAAAAACATCGATCCTAAGCCCCGAGCACTAACGTGCCTTCGCTCCAGCACCCTACGGCTGCCTTCGACGGGTCCAAGGAGTGCGAAGCTCAGAACCCGAAAGCAAAGTCAGACCCCCTTACGCCCATGGCAGAGCTAGGGGGTACATAGGGTTCAGGCTCAACCATGGAGATCATCATGATAGGAGGCGAAGGGTTGTTACTAATTACTAGCAATAACAGTATAAGAAAAATAACGAGCATGAAAATCAGCACGTCGTCATCATGGCGTTCAAGATGCCTGTCGAGACATTCGACTCGTCTCCGCATCCACGCGCAAGGTACTGAGGGTTCGGTTGACGAACACCAGGTCCGCAGCCTCCATGGACGCGGGAACATGTCTGAAGAAAGTTGAGGGTTTAGGGTTTGGGGCTTAAGGTTTAGGATTTAGGGCGCAGGTCTGTGTAGGCTGAAGGCGCACTTAGGATTTACACTCGGACACTTAGGGTGAAGTAGATGGCCTGCGTTTAGAGAACTATACGGGCCATCCCGGTACGCCACGTGTGCTCGGGTTCAGGCGTCCGTGCTGGAGAGTCTGAGTCTTGTGGATGCTTTGCTTCTAGTCGAAACAGGCATAGAGTTGAGCACTATCGAAAGTTCCGGTAGGCCTCCTAAACGCCAAACCCCTTAAAAAATATAAGACCTATAGCTTATTACATGAGGGGGTTGATCTACATTTTGGGCCGCTTCTGTAGCCCCGCCCGGGCAAATTATGCTACAGTCGAACTCCAAAAATAGCCCCTTTTTCAGAACCACCCTAGAATTTGGGGATAAAGTGTAGGTTTCAGGGTTTAGGTTTTTAGGTTTAGGGGTTTAGGGGTTCCGGCTCCCCACCATACTCCCAGCTGTTGCGAGCCTTGCCCACGCCCACGCCGGCTTCGGGGCCGACCGGCGCCTCGTCCTCCTGAACTCAAACCAAAGGGCCAACCCCTGAACCCTAAACCCTAAACTCCTAAACCCTAAACCCAAACCCCTAAACCCTAAACCCCTAAACCCTAAACTCCTAAACCCTTAACCCCTAAACTCCTAAACCCTAAACCCTAAGCCCTAAACCCTCTGCAGGGTTTACAAGGCTTCGGGCTGTGTGGGCTTAAGCCGTTGGGATGCTGTCCAGGTGCACCTCTCCTTTCACCGAGGCAAACGTACAGTAGGGGAGTAGGGTGTGGGGTGTAGTGCTTAGGGTACCAATACGAACTCATCTCCCCACCTCATGCTAACCCCCCCCCCTCCGCCCAAAAAGAAAAAAGAGTGACCTGCTGGGGCACATAGTCGGGACTTGCAAATGTCAGGGGCCGATTGCAAGGCCTGAGAGGGTCTGGAGGATTTTCGAGCCCAAGCGGCCCATAGCCGTTGTAAGCCCGGCATTTCCTAAACAGCTGAAGTTTGGGGTGATGATTCAAGGACAGCTCCGGATGCTCAGCCAAGTTATTGGGTTTCATGGTTTCACTTCTGCTTGTTGTTTTCCGCAGAGATCCGTGCCCGGTTTCTGAGGCTGTCTCTAAATTTTCCTCAACCCTAAACCCTGGCCTCCAGCTTGTCTACAACACACCCTCCCAAAACCTTGGAGCCTAAACCCAGACAGGATCCTCTGCTCAAACTCACCCGTATTCTCAAACAATTACACAACACGATGCTCTCCCGAAGCCAAGGAGGTTGCGAGTCCTCGCCACATTCTGCCTTTCAGCGGGCTCCGGCGCTTTGGGCAGGCTTCAGCAATTCTAAGCCGATTCGGCCGCGTTTCTGGTGCTCTCAAAGATAGCGAAGCCTTGAACACATGACACAGCTCTTGGGGCTGTGGAGATTTATGCTTCCCTGGGACCTGAACTCAACCGCGAACCCTAAGACGTGAAGGCACCCCCAGGACCCACGCAAAGGCCGCCCCCCAAGCTCTCAACACCCGAAACCCCCAAAGACCCCAACTCGTGCCCTGAGACCTGGCACCCTAAACCCAGAACCAAAAATGCATTGTTCAAAGGCACATGCTCTGCGAAAGGCAGCTGCAGGCAAACACTACCAGGATGGACCATTATACCCTATAATCCCTTTCAAGGCACTTTTTTAGGGTTCATTCTGAGGAATTTAAGCCTGGTAGGCATACAAAATGAGACTGGCCGAGTCTGCCTCCCGTCCGGCTTGGCACGTGCAAAGCCCAGTGCCCACGACTCCATCGTCGCAGTCCTGGAGCGTGCGGGTTGCTGGGGTGTAGGGTGTTTAGGGGTTAGGATGCCCTCTGAAAAATATTTCTGAACATGATCCTCTTAAACCCAATAAGGGAATATAGAAAATGCCCCAAGGGCCTACCTAGGGGATTTAGGGGATTCTGTTGTCCGCATTTTGAGATTTTTATGGTTATACAGCATGTACGCTTGGGCATCACCGCTTTTTGATCCCTGCAACCACAGTAAATCCTAAAAACCTACGCCTAGAACCTGAAGCAAGTCTCTCCTCTGATTGCTTAGGCATTGCTTAGGGCTTCTCCTCAAGCGTCCCCCTGTGTTTCCCCAAGGCCCCCTGAAAAATAGATTTGCTGTTTTACGTTGCTAAACGAGTAATACAATTCGACAAACACGTTGACCCCGGAATGATATACCCTTTATGAAGGATGGGCGCTGTCTCCCTTGCAGTCATCCTAAAGGATCCCCAGATGAGTCTTAACAAGGTTTGGGACGCTTTCGTACCGAAAAGCGGATGTACTGAAAACTACCCGGTATGACTTCTAACGCCGACTGGTCATTTAGCCCAGGGCTCATATAAAGATAATAAGGGACAGCGAAACACTTGGCCCACAAAGGGCATCACAGCGGTTGGTGTGTTTGGGAGGTAGTGAGGGTCACTGTTACAATACAGCCCCCCACAGCCCCCCAAAATGACTATAATTCAGTGAACTGACCATACAGGCATGTAACACTACCCAAGCATCAGGGATGCCAAAGTCCTCGTAGGGTTGGCAGCTGCACACTCCATCGCACTGGCGCCCATAAACTCCTCGTGCGAGCATGCTGACATAGGATTTGTCAAAGGTGCGTATGGGGCCCTGATCATTTGCGCCATTTGTCCTTTGACACCATTCTCAAGCTTCGCAGAAAACAGAAGAAGTGCTCTAGACGTAGACGCGGCGGCGCAATTATACCATTCTAAAACCCAAATCCCCCAGGGCAAGGTCATCCACCTGGGCGGCAGGCAGTGTACCTTGGCAAATGTGTCACGACTCTGATCTGCATAACGCATGAATTTAGTGAACGCATGAACGCAGTGAATGAACTGAATTCGCGAGCTCTTCTTATTTTATGCTCGCGGGTACACTAAAACTATTATTACTGTCACGGGCGATATAATTACTAGCCCGTATAATATAAAGAGTGTAGAGAATGAATTTATAAGGAGAGAACGAAGTAAAAGACGCATGAAATTCATGAACGAAACGAAACAAGGAGAAGATTCCATGGGAAGGAGAGTTCACCCTTAGAAGCGATCCGTGAGCTGGGTTAATAGCGTCCAGCGGCAGTTTCTACCTCATGGTCCAGTTGTTGCGTTCATGCGTTCACACACTAATACTAATATTCACGCGTTAACTTGTAATATTAGTATTAATGTGCTCTCTTATTCTCTTCACGGTAATAATATTAATGACAAGGAGTGAGCGACGCGTGCATTATATTATTACAGGTGAAGAAAGAAGAAGAGAGAAAAGCCACATAAAATATACTAAAAAGCGTGCACTTCATTTACCTTTTTAGTACATTTTATTAGGCTTTTAGTGAACGCAACCTTAACCTTATTGTTAGTACTGTTCCCCCGTTAACCAATCATCCGGGCTGGAACTACGAAGAGAGAAACGAATAAGGGAACGAATGTACTGAGTGAGCGCAATGAGTGAGTACAGGATGATAGCGGTCTAGCTCCTGGAAAAGCCGCATTATAAGGATGAACGAAGAGAAGACGCATGAATGGGCTTTTTAAGGGAGCAAAAGACCGCCAAGAATGAAGAGAGCATATTATTCGTGCTGGTAATAAGATGTCCTTTGCCTGGCGGTGAGATTAGAAGAAGGATGTGAGGAAAGGGGAATGTTGGACGTACCTTGACTGGCGGTTGAACTCAGAGAATGATTCGCGAGTACACGGTCAACCTTGGTTTTTCACGGGCCAGTAATAATATTATTTTCGTGCGTCCTAAAAGTCCTTACAAAATAATATTATGAAAGGCCCTATTATTTTATTAATGTTGCACGCACGTATACTTTTATTTTGCGTGCATGTGTCTTTTCTCTCTTCTTTTCGTCACGCATTAATTCGCTTATTCACGCACCAGTTTGTAATAAGCGAAATGCGTGATAGAAAAGAAGTAGGAAAAGGCACTAGAAAAAGCCCCTACAAATATATAAATGGGGCTTTTTCGTACACCATCAATCTCATGACACCTTAACTCCTTGTCTGTGAGGTTCACTCCCTGGTTGGTCCATGAATTCACTTGTTTCACGCGTTCATTCATTTCTCGCTTACTTCGTGCGCTCTCCTATTAAAATAGTATTAAATTGGTAAGCTTGCCGCACGCAATTTAATATTATTTTAATAGGCCCTTTTCTCTCTTCTTTTCACCCTTCTTTTCGCACCTTTAAAAATAATAGCGCGCGTTCCTTGCCTATTATTATTAAAGGGTGAGAACGAAGTGAGTGAAAAGATAAGAGAAAATAGTATGTTGGCCGCACAGTAAAAGAATTCCTTGTTCGTGCGGCACTTTGCTCACTTCGTTCATGCGATAAAAGCCCAATGAAAGAAGAACGGGGCTTTTATCTTATTCACTTCGTTCATGCGCTCACTATATTCGTTCGCTTGTTTATTATTCGCGCGGGCTTACAAAAAGACGCACGCGTGCACTGCGTTTACCGTACGAATAAATGAAGCCCGCGTATTAATAGTATTCGGGCGCTCATTTCATTCGCTTCGTCGTGAATTCGTTCGTAAACTCACTCGTTCACTCGTTCACTACGTTCATACGATTTTAGTGGATTTCATGCGTTCCTTATAAATCCATTAAAATCGTATGTACTTCGTTAACTGCCCGGATAGTACGGTTAATGGTGGATTTCCTAGAGAGGGGATTTACTATAGGATCAAGGTGGTAATGACTGAACGGGGGAACGGTTAACAGGGTCTCAAGGTGTGACAGGGAGAGAGCGGTTAACCTTTACTTTTCTCCCCTATTATTAATACTGCGTTTATTGGTAAGTTCACGCACGCAATAACCGCACGTATTAAAATAGGGGCCCTTTTGCGCATTAACGCAGTATATTCATGCGCGAGCTTATAATATATTGCGTGAATGGTCAAAAGGGGTGAAAAAGCCCCATTATTCTTTTCAAGGGGCTTTTTCGTACACCATCAATCTCATGACACCTTAACTGCCCAAGAGCCCGTCCATGAAGCCAGCCAAAAGATCACCCAGAACTGGGCCGTGAATGCGTTTACTTCGTGCACTTATTCACTTCCCCTTTAAGATTAATAGTATTATAACGGGTAAAGAATGCACGCCGTTATAATAATATTAATCATTAAAGGGCCCTTTCACCTCGTTTCGTTCACTTATTTTATTGGTGGTTTTCACGCGTCCTTTCACTCCTTGTAAAACCACTAATAAAATAGTACGAAACAGCGTGAAAGGGGAACGCAGTGAATGAAAAGCCCAATTTAAGAAGATAATAATAGGGGCTTTTCATACACTTCGTTCACGCCCACACAACCGCCCCCAAGAAACCAATTATAATATAACGGGCGTTTCACGCGTTCCTTGTAAAGCCCGTATATTATATTGGGTTCTTAGTGGCTTGGAAACAGAGGTTGGGTCTCAGAGTTAGGGTCTTTAACTACTGACAGGTTGGGTCTCAAGGTGTGACAGGGAGAGAGCGGTTAACCTTTACTTTTCTCCCCTATTATTAATACTGCGTTTATTGGTAAGTTCACGCACGCAATAACCGCACGTATTAAAATAGGGGCCCTTTTGCGCATTAACGCAGTATATTCATGCGCGAGCTTATAATATATTGCGTGAATGGTCAAAAGGGGTGAAAAAGCCCCATTATTCTTTTCAAGGGGCTTTTTCGTACACCATCAATCTCATGACACCTTAACTGCCCGGGTGAGCTGGAGATGGAGATAGTACGGTTTCTAGGGCTGTTTCTTATGGTTGGTCTTCGTGAATGCGCTCTCTAGTTCGCTTATTCACTCCCTCGTTCACTTCGTTCACTGCCCCAATAATAATAGTACTTTGTGGGTAAACTTCGTGCACGCCACAAAGTAGTATTATTATTAGGGCGCTCACTTTATTCACGCGTGCACTACAATAATATTATTCGCGCGTGCCTTGCAATAATATTATTATAGTGAACTAAGTGAATAAGTGAACTAGAGAATGAGTGAATTAGTGTGTGAACTCAGTGATCAAAAGCCCCAATTATAGTAAATTTAAGGGGGCTTTTGGCTCACTTCGTTCACTCCGTCGTTCATTCATTCACTGCGTTCATTAAATTCACTCGCTTGTACACTTCGTTCACACGATATAATATTAATTCGCGCATACACTGCGTTCCTTTGCAATTAATATTAATGCGTGTGTACTTCGTTCATCTGTATCCGCGGGCATAATAAGTACGCACGCATGCATTTCACTCACTTCTTTCTATTAATAAAAGGAGATAATAAATAAGAAAGTGAAAGACAAAGGGCCCCAACATTCTATTCACGGGGGCCGCTACTATAATATAATAAGTGCATGAGCGATATAATAATTAATAATACGAGTTTTCCTGCAGTTTTACCAGGCGGGCAAGAGAGATGAATGGGGCTTATTTCGTATACTCGCGAGTGAATGCAATGAACGGGACGGGCACACATTATATACGGGCCCCTTTATTATTATATTATTATAAGGCCCGTACACACCTTAACAACTGGGTTTATTAAGTGAAGAGAGTGTGTGAATAAGAGAATGAATGAGCCTGCGAATGAATGAACGCAGTGAGCACATGAACGAAACCCGCTAGTACTGTAACTCCCTTATGAACGTATGCATTAATACACGGGCATATAATACGTACGGTAAATGAAGTGAGTGTACGAACGTAATGCACGCGTGCGCTTCTTTTCGCCCGTGTTCGCATGATTTCAATAATAATATGAACTTCGTGTAGAATTATAGTACGTTTTATTACTATTATTAGTATATTGTTCTCTTCTCTTCTTCTTTCTTCACCTGTAATAATATAATGCACGCGTCGCTCACTCCTTGTCATTAATATTATTACCGTGAAGAGAATAAGAGAGCACATTAATACTAATATTACAAGTTAACGCGTGAATATTAGTATTAGTGTGTGAACGCATGAACGCAACAACTGGACCATGAGGTAGAAACTGCCGCTGGACGCTATTAACCCAGCTCACGGATCGCTTCTAAGGGTGAACTCTCCTTCCCATGGAATCTTCTCCTTGTTTCGTTTCGTTCATGAATTTCATGCGTCTTTTACTTCGTTCTCTCCTTATAAATTCATTCTCTACACTCTTTATATTATACGGGCTAGTAATTATATCGCCCGTGACAGTAATAATAGTTTTAGTGTACCCGCGAGCATAAAATAAGAAGAGCTCGCGAATTCAGTTCATTCACTGCGTTCATGCGTTCACTAAATTCATGCGTACGTTCATTCACAAGCTCACTCACTTCCTTATAATTTAGTTCTCTTATTCACTTCGTATTTTTATTAATAATATTGTGTCCGGGCGAATATATTAAGTGAACGCCCGGTAAATATTATAGTAATAAAGTAGTTTCCGCGGGCATAAAATATAGTAAATTCAATGGGCCCGCGATGAACTTGTAAATACAATTAATATGCTCTCTACACTCTATCTCTCATTTACTATTATGCCGGGCCGTCACGATATTACTATTTTGCCCGGCGGTAAGAACGCACACTAATTTATATGCGCGAACGCGCACGAAGTGAATGGAATTCGTGCATTAAATCTTATGTTTATTGCGTTTACTTCACGAATACTATTAATAAAAACCCAATAAAATAAGTGAATTTGCATTTCGTTCCTTTCAGGCTTATAAAGAGTGCTAATTTAATATCCTTTTCTTCACTCCCTTATCTCCTCGTATTATTAGTACTTAAAAGGGCACATTATTATTATATTCGTTTACTCGTTCATGCATATCTTCACGGATTCTC